AACTTACCTGTTTTCATTTTCTTAAAGATAAGAGTTTTGCATAGATTTTGATAATCAGGGGCGTGGCCGGTTTGACTAACAGGTGGGCTTCTTTGTAGCGGTTTGCCTTCAGGTCTGCCTTAACGCCACTTCTTTGCCTGTTACCAGACGTCACTGAGATAACGTCCATGTTTCATACAGTCTATTGTTAAACTACATTATCAACAAGGCTGTGCGTTCAATAAAGTAACTGGTTATGTTGTAGAAAGAAAAACAGATAACCTGGTGCGTCAGTGAAGGTCAGAGCATAGATGACCGCTTCTCCCTGTACTGCGAAGAGAAGTCGACTCCCATCTGGACTCCAACAGCCAGACTGATCAAAACAAACCAAGCTCAAAATGAGTCATTAAATACATCATCTACAAGAACCTGAAGTAACGCAACATATACTCTCACACATCGTTCTCACCTGGCAGCGTCCTTTTAAACCAGGCCAACGCTCACATGTCCACATCCTGGTCTCCCAAACCCTGAAGAAAGAACTTTGACTCATTCAAGCGCAAAACTTTACTTTACTCATTATCGTATAACACTTTCTAAACTCCAGATTAGCCGCTAATCTTTTACGTGCTCATAAATATTCACGAGAGGGGAGTGGGCCCACAGCAAGCAGCCACTGACTCACGTCTACACACATTAATCACATCTCTTCCCTCGTGTTTCTGTACATCTACATGGAGGGAAGGTAAAACTGTCTTTCCAACCTGAATAAGGCTGATGGTGTAGAGGCCAGGACGTGGCTACCATCAGGGGACCAGGACAGAAATGTGACGCCGCCTCCTCCAACACGCTGAAGCGGCACACCGATTTCTGAAGCTACATCCCAAACCTGAAAGACAACGTGGATGCCAGTGGTAGCAAACAAACAACAACAATAAAGGATGTGAACCCCTTTCTGAATCATTTATCGACGCATGTAATATCCTCCTCGTACCATCATTGCGGTGTCCATGGGCGAGGCCGACACGAGGAGGGAGCCGCTTGGAGACCAGGCGATGGAAGTGACAGGCGAGTGACCGGGATGAGACAGAACTTGAGCACAACCAGAGGATGGTCTGAATGAAGAGAAGAAAGACAGAGAAAGAAAAAAAGTGTCAGATTTTCTGCAGTGTTCCTCAAGCAACCACATACAAAACATAACATTTATTTTGTGAACAGATTTTATGCAGAAACTCAAGATTACATACCTGGTTGATAGCGAGCAGGGGTCCACGTGCCAGACCAGCAAACAGTTTTGACAAGCGACGGCGAGGGCAGAGGCACACAGAGGCTTCCACTGCACAGCTGCAACGCTCCTCTGCAGACGGTGCTTCAGCGTGGGAGTTGTGGCACTAAGCGACGGAGCCAAAGAGTTTCAGAGGGTTGTGAGAAACAGAGGCTTGATGTTGCAGCAAAGTATTTCTACAGACTAGAACAAACTTTCTTCATCATGGAAAGTGACTCTCTCACCAGGTTGAACTACCCTTAACAAAAGATTAGCGAAAAATGCAAAAACAGTATTTACAAAGTCTATCGCAACATTTGAATTTATGTTCAAGACTTTAAGTTCTGCATTTTTAAACGTGTTGTTATTTTTGGCTTTGAAACTTCCTTCAGTCACATATTCACAACAACAAGGGCAGCAGAGGTGTTCTTTAGAGACTTTTCTGTGTACCTTTTAGGGTTGTATATCTTGATGGAGTCGTCCAGGAGGGCTACAGCAAACTTATCAGTGTGAGTATGCCAGGCAAAGGCTCGCACCACACAGTCAGACCTGGTCAAGCAAGAGGGATTCAAGCAGGAGAGATGAATGAGCAATGTATCAACTATCTGTTGTAGCTCAAAAGTTGTAGTAACTATTAAACACTAATTTCTTTCCAATGCCACTTTCTTCATAACATTTTTTTTTTTACATCAATAATTTTCCCTTTGAGAGCAAAAATGAAAAACAGATTCAACGTTGGCACTTACCAGTTCAGTATCTGTGAAAACTCAGCAATCATGTCCTCACTGCTCAACTACAGGCAAAATGACAAACAGGTAATAGACCTACAAAAACTGGTAATCAAATGTGTCTCATCGTTTCATATTAAACTAGCAAGCAAAAACTCACGGTGAGATGAGGAAACAGGGAGCCGTGAAAGGAGGACGCTCTTTGGAGTAATGCCAAGATACAACCAGAGCTCACCGACAGCCATTTCGGCACTACGAGAAACAAAGCACGTGAGTCGATGCATATTCACACAAGAGAATAAATACAATCAGGTAGTTTCTCATGTTAATGAAAACACATGTACCTTCTGTGTGAGAGTTTGTAATTTCATTAAGTAGCCCTGTGAAGCCACCATCCCGCCTGGAAAGAACAGAGATAAATGTTACACTTTTGAAATGATGGCACAAATGGTTCTGCAAATTGTTAAAAAGGTGAATTGATCGATATTTGGTGCAAGTTATTTTGGCAGATTCAAATAATCTGAGTGACTATGAGGTGCAGTCGTTTGCTTTTATCCTTTTATTCGTGAAATAACAAAACAAACAGTGACACAAAGGACAAAACGGGGAGGACAATTTTACAGGCACACAGAGAAAAAAAGAAATGAAAACAAAACAACAACAACAACAACAAAAAACTGGGGGAATAGAGTAGAAAGTAGAACTGGGAAAACAACAACTGGGACAAACAGAAACAAAAAAAAACAGAAAAAAAACACTAGAGAAGTTGAATAAAAATGAACAGATACAAAGTAGTAGTGGTAACAGATATGGTGATTATTGTTATGATGGTAGTGAGAACAGAAGTGTTTTTGTAGTTGATTGATTAATTGGGTTGAGAGTTCTGGCTTACAGGTGGAGGTGTTTGTAAATGCAATGCCCTAATAAGAGGGGTAGTTGTTTGCTTTTCTTTATACTGGCAGGTGCACGCTGCTATTGTGCATTGTAAAACCTTATAGCAGCTGGTATACAAGACTTCCTGTATCTCTCAGTTTTGCACATTGGTGCAATCATTTTCTGACTGAAGGTGCTGCTCTTGATCACCTTCAGGGCGTGGAGTGGGTGAGTGGGGTTGGTCATTACTGAACCCAGTTTGTTCAGAGTTCTGGCCTCTGCACCTGCTGGACCGTTAGTTGCTCCCCCCCCCCCGACCACTGAGCCGGCCTTCCTGACCAGCTTTGTCCAGTCTGTTTTTTGTCCGCTGCACATGAAAAAACTTGCATGCATTTATTTTTTACCACCCCATTACCTTATGTCAGACTTCATTTGTTTTAGCTAAGTGTTACCTCATAAACTGGTCACAGAGTTGATATAATGTGTAACAGTATGCTGTAACTCCAACGCCTTATCTGAATGGGCGGCTGTGGCTCAGAAGGTCAAGGGTTCGATCCCCAGCTGAGCAACGGGCAAGACGTTTAACACCTGCATTGCTCCCGTTGCTTCGGTGGCGGTGTACGAACGGATTAGTGCTGTACTTCACTCTCTGATGTACGTCTGCTAAGTGAATTGTGGAATCATCTCTGCATGTCTGTGTTTTCATACCATGCTGCTGCACTCCTCATCCACAGAGTTTCAGAGTGGTCCAGGAAGGCTGCCTTGCTGCTGCTCTCTGTGCGACTGTGCAGCTTCAGAGACTCTCGGGGGAAATGAAGACTGAGAGGGCTGGAGTCCTGCAGGATACCCACCACACCCATGACAAAAAAAAAAAAGACATGACAAAAAAGTTAACAACTCTTAACACTTTTATCTCAGGGATTCAGGTGATTTTGTGACCCCTTGACCCCCAAACCCAACTGGGAAATTGGGGTCATTGTGCCGTCTTTTCAGAGGTGGAGTATTGGTGAAAAGGCAGCAGGTTTGTGAATCAGACCTGTTTGAGCCGGTCTTCAGTGGTGGCTCCTGACAGCAGCTCATTGTTGGACTCGCACAGAGTGGTCTGTCCGCAGGGTAACGGAGGGGGAAACAACGCGAGAGAGCACATTTTCACCCTGCACAGACACAATGGGCTCAGTCAGGTAAGTAAACACCAGGTGAACACAGACAGACGTCATGCAGACACTTTAAAAAACACGCAGGGTTAACACATCACAGTTAGCTATCCGGCTCCAGCTAACTATGTTGATATCGATATCCTCCCGACTCTGTCAACAACATCACTTAATATTCCTATAATACAACCGTAAAAGTTACCTTTTAGTGTTATCTATAATCTTTTGGTCAGTTATTCTTGCTATGCTCTTCCTGACAACATAATAAATCACACGATACGTCGTTGGGTCACTTTTTTTGGCTTCCTTGCTTCAAGTCGAGCCCGCCGTGTGGAGTACGGCAAGCGTCATGGGTCAAACAGTGCGGAGCGCGGCTATAGGAAAAACTGTAAGTGCTGACCTCTTGAGGACAAAAAGCAACATTGCATGCACGCTGTGAGCCAAAAAACAGAAACCAAATGTTTGTATTTTTAGAAGTTGGAGTCCCTAAAAACATTCATAATTTATTTAATTTAGCCATTACAAATTGGATATTTCCTTATGCAATTTTCCAACCCATATTTTATTATGTTGTTCTATAAACAAACATCTTGTTCATGTATTATCACGAAATTAAAAACCCCACATTCCCCTCTTAACAACTGAAGGAAAATCGCAATGGTCAGCTGCAATACAGTTTCCCTGGATCCGCGGGGACTCAGATTGTCTTGCTCAGGGACACATCAGCAGCAGAGGGACAAGCATGGCATACTTGTTAACATGAACGTGAATCGTTTAATTGCAGTCACATGCATAAACCAGACAATAAGGGGAAATGTTTTTTGGAGCGGAAGAGATTTATGTTCTGATGGGGAGGGGGGGGGGGGGATACAATTTCGTGTATTTGTGTTTGCAGAAAAAGTGGTGTTGGCGCCCCCTTGTGGCCTAACCTGCCTTCCCGTGACGTCAATTCAGCACTGGGAAGGAGACAGCTCCCTCCCCCCCCCCCTCCAAAAAAAAAAACCCAGCGCGCCTCACGTTGCATGGGTCCCCGCTTATTGATAACACAATTTGCCCGCTGGGATCCATCCCAGTAGCGTGAAACTCGTGGATACGGGGACTTGAACTACAACACACAGCACCGGACCGAGGAACAACAACGATCCGCTCATTATCACCGACAAATAGAGAGCGGAGCCCACCCCTTTCACTTGACAACGCGACATCAAGCGGGCAGAAAGGTATGGGAATGTCATACTATCCGGTTAAATGCCGATCGAATTGGAAATCAGGTATCTCGGGACGTTTAGGTGATGATGCCGTTGCTTGGTGCGGTACCGTTCACGCCGTTCACACTGCACCACTGAACTGATGCTGCCAAGAAACCAATCGTCGTCGATGAACGCTAGAAAATCATATTTGTGCAGCGAGTAAGCCCCACATTACAGAATATTTGTGTTGATGCCAACGTTGAGTTAAATGTGGAGACGCTGCGGCAGTTTTGACTTGGCATGGACCGTAGTGGGCATCAGGCTTGCGATTCATGCACGTCGGCTGATGATGCTGCTGAGTGTCATCATCACATCCTCGGTTATTTAAAGATTGATCTTCCTGTGTTTGTGTGCGTGTGTGCACGGCTCCTTCCTGCACAGGCCCCATGGTTGTTTATTGCCCGTTTTTCTTCACGCTCTCATTTCGCTCTTCTCCGTGCAGTGGTGCAGTACGAGAAATGGAGCTGGTGTATGTGAACAGGATACATGTGCTCTCTCCATCCTTCCTCCATGCTCTCTCTCTCTCTCACACACACACACACACACGCACGCACACACATGCAGGCACGCACGCACGGTCCTACGTATATCTCCACACTGTGCTGGTTATGCAATTGTCATATTCTTCATATGCACACAATGCTCTTTACTTGAGGCATGACGGACGACAGATGGGAGCTGCTGAGTGGCTTTGCTCTGATGTGTTTCGGACCCTGGTGAGCCTCTGAGGAACAGTTAAAGAACAGGTGACATAGAGCTGAGGACCGTGCAACCTCCTCTGTGCAGTTCATTCATAAAGCCTACTTCCACTCTGGGTGATGGCTCCACTGGGCAGGCTGGTTCTCCCATTCATGCACACAGAGAAGAGGAATGATTCAGACTGGATTTGGTTTAGAAATTGAGTAACTGAGTGGTTTAACTGGGGGGCTGGACGAGTGCCCAATTCACAGCACGACTCCTCTGTTGTAGTGTTTTGCATTTGCTCCAACAAAAGAGAAAGTTAGTGCATACTTTAGAGAGAGAGATGTTCCTTCCCGGTACTGATTCTTAAAATATGGGCCGATACTGACTACCCCTCAGATGCCAGTCGATTTAAATGATGCACACATGATTGTGGGGAAACACTGATTTCTGACCTTTAGCTAAAGTAACAAGTCTCTCTGTCAGCACCTCTCTGATGTTGTTTGTCAATGTCACAGGATACTTTACCTGAAACCACTTGATTCTGGGAGCTATCGCTGGTTCTATTTTTGAATCTGTGCATTTACTGGTATGCTTGCAGATACATAATACTACATTTTGAGCAGTATTGATTGATCAATGACCATTGATTGATACTGATATTTATATTGGTATGGGTATATCTGTACTCAGCTGTTGTGTCATTTGTAAACAGAGAAATGAAATAACTAAAGTTAGTGGTCATTTCAGCACTGGACAGCTCCTTAATTGTGCTGTTTATTTTGCATGTGGAGCTGTCCAGTGCTGAAGTTACTCGACACTTGTTTTCATGCTGAAAAGAAGTCAGAACATTGTTTCTCTGTTCACAAACCGATGCAATATCCTCATATAAACAAGAATGTATCATTTGAATGCATTAATTATCATACCTGTACTCTTCCAGGCTTTCTTCTCATCATACCATCCACCATCCACCCTGAACTGCTGTGTTGGGGAAACCCCTGATGAGTGGGACCTGTATCCATGAGCCCCACGCCCCTTCCCCCTCCCTGTCAGGCTTCAGCACCCCCATCTCAGAGCCCTCCTATCGAAGACTTGATGGAGACACCCCTGCATGCACCCCCGAAACGGACCTGACCCCCACACAGTGTGTCCTCCGTAACGTGCTGTCCATTGACACAGGCGCGCAGGCGGCGCCGGGCGGCAGCAGCCCCACTCCCAGTGATGGACCCTCGGCCCACTTTGACAACAGCGTGCTAAAACTACATGAACATGAAGCCTGCCAGTGTGGCGGCGGGGCCGAGGCCGGGCATAGTCCGGAGGCCGGTGCTGTCCGCAGGCAGTCGGACAACATTCGGCTACAATCAGGAAGTGGAGGGTTTTTGGAGGGACTGTTTGGCTGCCTAAAACCAGTCTGGACCATGATTGGGAAGGCCTATTCCACTGAACACAAACATAGCCATGAAGGTAAGTTGACAAAAAACATTTCCCCTCAAGACTGTCTGACCCACTGCTGGGTTTTGGATAGTACAGTTAATGCCAAAGTGGTCTAGTTTGTCACCTAATGGAATTATTCACTAAAAAAGCTTTTGTGGTAATTTTCTAACTACGGAGTTACACCTAATAACTAATAATTAACTTACTAATAAAATCTGAGCTAAAGGAGGAAGTTTGAGCTCAACATTGGTGCTTGAAGTTTTTAGAGACTTTATTTTAAGGTTTATTATAACGGTTTAATCCAACATGTGAAAATAGTTAATAACAAGTAAAGGTTGTGTTCTTTTCAAAATAATACCTTAGTGGAAGTACAGAAGCATTGACAGCGAAATGTAGTATAAGGCTCCAAAGTAAAACTACGTGTCCTGCAGAAAAGAATGGCACCTGTAACAGACATAAGTCATTGTATATAGTATTTTATAGTACTGTATTAGAATGTTATTGTCGCACAAAAGTAGCTAGTAGAGGTGAACTACACATTAGTACACAGTCCAGGGTTTCCAGCCTTGGATGTCACAAAGAGTGACCATGTAATCTGAGTGATTGTCCGGCGTTTAAAGGAGTAAGGAAGACGACAAAGTTCTGCTTTGCAAATTTGTACACGTTTTAAAACTTTTTTTTCTGATGTCTGTTCTTTGGAGATAATCATTTATAGATCATTTCATGTTTTAAACACTTAAGACTAAAACATTTATGTTATGAAACCTTTTCAGAAGTTCAGTTAGCAAATGTCTGTTAACAACTTGTAAACATCTGTTAAATGATCCAGCAGCTACACTCTGCTTTTGTAAGAAGAGTAAAACAAGGTTAGATGTATATCATTTGTTTAGTGCAAAATCCTTTGCTGATATTCCAAAAGTTACTACAGCTCTCAGTTAAAAGTGTAAAACTACACTATTTTCCTCTTAAACATAGTGGGGTAGAGGTATAAAGTAGCAGGCAATTTAAAAAGTCACCTACAGATACCTCAAAATAATCATTTTACTTATTCTCCTTTGTCATCATCCAAAACTAGACCTCCATTATTTTTCATTACTCTGTGACTGACTGCCACCAAGTCCAGCTGGCAGCGTGACTGTGTTCAGAACTCCGTCAGTCCGGCTCACTCTCAGTCATCAGTTGCCGTGAGTTTTCACAGCTGGCCAGAGGAGGCGTCATGTGCATCACGCCTCAACCGCAGCAGCTCTCTCCAGAGATCTCGACACTTCAGTGGACCTCATGAAGAATTGATTTGCTTGTCTCTTTTATTCTGCCTGGCTCGTCTCTCCTTAGTGACCGAGCTCTCACAGTCGTTTAAGAAGAGTCAATCCGACAGATGACAGACAGATTACAGTATGAGTGGACTGTCCTTTCCCCTGATTTTTCTCTTATCTCTGGATAGAAATATAATGGTCTGCTGGATAAGTTATCAATATACCATTTGTTTGAACATGACAGGCCTTTTTGTACGATGTAATTGTGTTCTGCCCGCTCCATTCTCATGTGCAACATAGAGCTAGCATTTTCCCAGCAACCCCCTGACTCCTCCCTGTCTTATCTGAGAGAGTACAAATTGACTTTAAGTGTGAACGATGTCATTCAAGTAATCGCTCAAAGGTTGCTACTGAAAACATGTGTTGCAATGCCCGTGTAATTCCAATGCAAAGTTCCATGAACCCACTTTTACTTATCGGAAATGTGTTGTTTTTTTTTGGGATTGTTGGTGTGTGTTTAGAGTCCTGGGAGGTCCCCTTTGAGGAAATCTCTGACCTGCAGTGGGTGGGCAGCGGGGCACAGGGTGCCGTCTTCCTCGGCAAGTTCCACGGAGAAGACGTGGCAGTGAAGAAAGTGCGGGACATTAAAGAGACGGAGATCAAACACCTCCGCAAACTGAAGCACCCCAACATCATCACTTTCAAGTAAGGGAACTCGAAAGATCCTACTGGGTCATGTGATGTTTAACTGCATAAATCTCACTTTGATATGATGTGTTATCTGACTGCTGTGCATCCTTGCAGGGGCATATGCACCCAGGCTCCTTGTTACTGTATTCTAATGGAGTACTGTGCCCAAGGACAGCTGTACGAGGTGCTGAGGGCCGGTCGTAAAATCACCCCATCCCTCATGGTTGACTGGTCCATGGGCATAGCTGGTGGCATGAACTACCTGCACCTCCACAAAATCATCCACAGAGACCTCAAGTCCCCAAAGTAAGGCAAAAAAAAAAAACTCATCAAACTAGCAGACACAAAAGCTGACATTTCAGGACAGATTCCCTAATATTTAATTCAAAACTATACCCATTATCTTACATTTACAGCATGCTGATTACACATGACGACATGGTTAAGATCTCTGACTTCGGCACCTCAAAAGAGCTCAGTGACAAGAGTACCAAGATGTCATTTGCTGGCACCGTAGCTTGGATGGCTCCTGAAGTCATCCGAAATGAGCCAGTGTCTGAAAAAGTGGACATCTGGTAAGTTTGATTGACATCAATACAACACAGGACTTTTCTTTACTCGATGAGCAGATAAAATGTTGAGTGAGAGACCTTCGATCATCTGAAGGATTAAAATATCTGATTACTAGTATGCCTGATTGTCTCTTTTGTAAAAGAGATCGTGACCCCCCCCCCAGTTAAGACAAAGCCTGACTTACTTTGAAGGTCCTTTGGAGTGGTGCTGTGGGAGATGCTTACTGGAGAGATCCCTTATAAAGATGTGGACTCCTCTGCCATCATCTGGGGAGTGGGAAACAACAGCCTCCAGCTCCCCGTACCTGAGAGCTGCCCTGATGGCTTCAAGATCCTCCTCAGACAATGCTGGTGAGTTACGCCAGGAAGTGGACGGTGAGAATGAGAAAAGAGAAGCACAGAGAAAACATGAATAATAGAAGTAGAATCCAGGGTTTAGAGTAGAAGCAATGGGAGGCGTAAGTCTGTGGTTTAAAGACTTAATTATCCGTTATTGTCTTTCACATCTTGCAGGAACTGTAAGCCCAGGAATAGGCCGTCTTTCCGTCAGATCCTTCTTCATCTGGATATAGCGTCAGCTGATGTTCTCTCCACTCCACAGGAGACCTACTTCAAGTCTCAGGTATGGGTGCCTATGCTAGTCTCGGTCTAAATACCTGATTAAATGCACGAAAAGGAAGGCAAAGCACAGATTTATTTTGGAGCTACATAGATTGATGTCAAACGTTTGCTTGTTTCGGGTTCTAATTTTGAAGAGTTGCGGGTTTTCTTTGTCATGTATGCCATTAAACGAGGAGTCTTTTGGACAGTTAGTCATAACGAATTTGAAGACTTCTTTTTGGGCTTTGGAAAATTGTGAGCACACATTTTTGACATTAAATGTGCTAAAAGATTCATAATGAAAATAATGGTTAGTTGCAGCACAGACATACACACAACAAATTCACAAACACATTTCTTTGCACAGCTATCACACTTAAACTACCCTACCAAAAGAACTGGTAACAAAGCCAGCTCTGGCTAAATTGCACTGGTTGGCGTAAATTGTGCTTCTCATCAGGCTGAATGGCGAGAAGAGGTGAAACAGCACTTTGAGAAGATTAAATCTGAGGGTACTTGTATCCACCGACTCGATGAGGAACTCATAAACCGGCGCAGAGAGGAACTCAGGTCTGTGGTTTTTTTTTTCTTTTCCAACTCAAATGTGTGATTTTGTAGAATCTCAGGGTGCTCAACCAGTACATGATTGTACTTTCACTGTTAGCCCACATGTATGAGGCCACTTTCTGTGTGTCCCATTTCTCGATGTCATGCCTTTGTTCACCCTTGAGCATGAAGTAAGTGCCCATCTATTGTGCAGAATTAGGAATCTGTCATGCGGATGCACAATGACAGCAGCTTTTTTTTTTTTCTTTTTTCAGGCATGCCCTGGACATCCGTGAGCATTACGAGAGGAAACTGGAGAGGGCTAACAACCTTTACATGGAGCTCAGTGCTGTCATGTTGCAGCTGGAGCTCAAAGAGAAAGAGTTGCAGAGGTAAGAATGAACCCATGAACGCAGGGTAGATTCTTCTCCAAAATGAATGTAAGCCACAACGCACTTACATTTAGGTGTCATTTTATTCCCCAGGAGAGAGCAGTCATTGGATAAAAAGTATCCTGGTCTGTTTAAGCACCACAGCTCCAGACAGAGCAGCTCCTCCAACACCATGGACAAGTTCATCAAGAAGAGAAATGTCCCTCAGAAACTGCCCTCGGGAAAGAGGTGTGACATCTCCTTTCAGTGGTTATTTGTTTGAAAAGATTAATACTTAAATGGGGGAAATGAATATTCATTAGGCTGGTGGGTTGTATTGTTTACGAATCCCTCCTTCTTTTCCAGGCCAGACATCCTCAAATCGGAGGTCATCATTCCCAAAATGGATTCCTCCATGATGCAAGTCACTATCCCAGCCTGCCCCAACAGGAGCTCCACTTCTCCCAGCCGCTCTCGGAGGGTAAAGACCCGCCACCGCAAGCCAGGGAAGGGAAGCAGCGGAGACCTGGCTGGACTCAAAGCGACTCAATCATCCCCTAACAGGGACTCGGCTGCCCAAGCTAACAGTTCAACCAACAACACCTCCAAGCAGCTCCTGGAGCCGTCCGCAGCCCTGCGAGGGCTCAGCCATGAGCAGCAGCAGAGGCAGCTCTCCTCCTCCAGCCCCGACCTCATCTGCACCACGCTGGAGGCAGAAGGACAAGGAAAAGGGGAGACCTCTGTGGGCGGGCTGGAGAGAGGTGGCAGCCTTAGTGCCTCTGCAGGGTTAGGGGGGTCGGAGGCAGGGGCAGCTGGTCTCGATGATCTCACAGAAACTCCCCCACGTAGCGACACACCGAGTGAAGATGCTGCGTCTTTTCCGTTCTCCAGCAGCCCCGACTCACCGTGTGGGCGGGGGCGGCTGCAGGTCGGGGGTCTTTGGGATCTCCACGTCTGCCACACGATGGGGAGGATAAGGAGGATGCAGCGGGTGCTGTAAGGCTACCCCGGGGGGCATCAGGAGGGATTGGGAGTCAGCATCTCACACCTTCAGCCATTCTGTACAGAGCAGCTATCACACGCAAACAGGTAAAGATGTCTAAACGCTCTCCTCTGTGTTCCTCTGGTGACACTTTGATCATTTTCACTTGTGCATTTTTCCCGACTACAGAGGCGTGGAGTGTCATCAGAAGAGGAGGAGGGTGAGGTTGACAGTGAGGTTGAGTTACCACGGAGACGGTGAGTAACTTGTCGTCCTTCATCACTGGAAAATTCCCTCAAGCTCTCCTCCCTCTCTGACAAGATGATTTATTCAGAGAACAAAAAGAATGATTTAAATGTCATTCTTTGACATCAAACCTATTTTTGATTTCTTTTTTTTTTTTTTGGGTGTTTCTCATTTGATCTCTCCAGACGTCCGACCAGCATCACAAAGTGTCAGTCAGTGTCTACCTTCAGCTCGGAGAACCTGTCTGTGTCAGACGGCGAGGAGGGACACACCACCGACCACTCTCACAGCGGCACCCCCGACGTGGTCAGCACCAACACTGACGACAGGCTGGACGACCGCAGCGATGACCTCCTCTCTCAGGGGTCTGAGATCCCCGCGGACAACACGGATCCCGCCCAGGCTTCTGATGGCCTGTCGGAGCGAGACGGAGCCCTAGGCCAGGCCAAAGCTCAGCTGGACGCTGGGCAGAATCCTAATGAGGTAAAAACAGGCCCACAGAGGATCGCATGTGTCAGTATGTGTCATCTTTTTTATAGTGATGCAAAAACAAAACTCCAAAAACCTGAGATGGACAATAACTGCAAGTAACTCCTCAAGATATTCAGTTCCTTCTACTTTAATTGAGCTTAGCCATGACATCTGAAACAAAAGAAAATATTTGCAGGACAGAACAACTTATTGAATAATGGAGAAAATCATTTTCTCTACAATCTACAATGACAACAAAGCCGCTGCAGCAATGAAAAGGATCTGAAGTTCATGAGTACCTTTTGTTTTTCATTCACTTTTCAGAGTCGGGCCCTGTGTGATGATTCTGACTGTGACAGTGCTGAGCTGGATCAGTCTGGCAGTGGAGAGCCCAGCCGTCCTCCCAGTGCTGGAGCATGGGCCCCCCTCACTACACCTCACACAGGACCTCCGTAGATCACTGGACACAAGCAAAGACCTCCAACTACCCTCCAGTGAACAACCATCACAGGCGTACACAAATCTGTCAGTGCAGTACATTACTGTTGTCGAGAGGGATCACACTTAAAACTGGGCTCTGACTATGACAAGTGGGCTTGTGGTGTCTCATGAGTTGGTTCCTGGCAAACCTTCATCAGATAGCATAGGACATTTGTCATAACCTGACATCAGATATTTTGGCAGCTTGTGACATCAGATAATGTCATTTGAGTTCTGTTAGTTTTTTTTTTTTTTTTTAAGGCAAAATAGTTACCAAGGTAACCTTAGCCACTGCTCCAGTACAGCAAAAACCCTTCCACAGACACGCACGCACAAGATACCACACTCATCCTTTAAACACTCTAATCCTCACTCTGGGAGCATCCTTCATGATTCTCCACACACACGAATGCATCAAATACTAATAAATAATAATGTAAATATCCATTACCTACCACATGAGAAATATCTAACTTTATTTTATTTGTAAGATAAAAATGTAAGACTAAATGGTATGCAGCCCTGTGAACAAATGCATGACTACATGTTTATAATTTATGGTTTGAATGTGTCAGTTTTATATTTTGTGAGAGTTTACACTTTTTTAATCCTGAAAGTATTACTTAAGTTATTTTTTTGTTAATAAATGTCAGCACTCAAGGGGGGGGGGGGGGGGAGTCCGAATGGAATGAAAATCTCACCAGGATATCGATCATGATGCATTATTAGGATTCTAAGGTAATACATCATTTTTTTAAACCCTTCTACGACTGAGTTTCGAATGACATGGTTGATATATTTTTGTGAAGCTTATCAAACATGTGAAATGATTGGAAAGCTTTGGGTTCAATCAAAATGCACTTTTGCCACTTTAGGTATACTGGCGCTGCTCTACCAATTTCTAAAATTGTTTTGTCTTTTGTCGGTAGGATGATCATTTGAGTAGTGCAAGAAATAGATTGCACTTGCATAGCTAGTTTAGTAACAATGCATTTCTATAAAATCATCCAAGTAAAAGATAGACGGGTTAGAATACTAGGTGTGAAGAAAAAAATATCAAAAACGCTTCAGCAGAATTAGAGATTTATTTTTTTATAGGACGCATTATTTTACTCGTCAAAGCCTGTTGCCTACATTACCCAATTACTACCAACTACTTCTGTCAGAGTCGCGTTTAATTCATTTATATGCCAGTAGCGGCTTACCTACCCTAGACAACGCTACACGCTGACTCAAGCTACGTCACTTGAGACAGTTTACACCTGTAACACCGATTTAAATGTGTAAAATTCCCCTTTAAGAAAAGAACCACACGGCTCCTGTATTTCACGACGTTGATAGGTTTCATAAAAACCTCAACTTCCTTCTACCCTTTAAGATAACTGCAGAAGTAGCCAAGATAAGGAATAGCGCACTTCTCTGTGGTGGTTTACTAGTTGAACAGTAAGTATCCTTTGGGTTTGAATAGAAATGTTTTGTTTTTATACAGCATTGCACATTGTACCTGTAACATAGGAATTATATCAAATGCAAAATATTATGAGCAACAATAAATGATGTATTGGTTTAAAAAAAAAAAAAAAATTGTGAAAATCGAAACAGGTGTCTTAATTACAGGTTGTAGTGTTGCTGCATCACGAGGCATCCGGACATGAAATTAAAGACTGTTTACAATGTCTCTACGCATGTTTAACCTTTTCCATTTTTCAGTTTCATTTCTTAAAATGTCTTTCCCAATTCTTTTAAGAAATGTAAAAAAAAAAAAAACATTTCGCCATGAGGCTTTTTATTTTTATCTATATGGTGGTGCACAATGACACATTCATTACTGGGAATTAAAAGACACCCTGCAGCCAATCAGAATAGAGTTTCACCTGGACCAATGTTTAAAAGAGGATTGTCTCTGAGTATTTATGCTGGAGCTATAACAATTTATCAATTGCTTGTGATTTTTACAATCAAATCATTATTTATGTGGTTTAAGCATTCAAAAGAGTTAAAAACATTTGATTCCAAGGTTTTAGAATTGGAAGAAAAATAACAAGTAAGCCACAAGGTAAGGATGATCCAGAACTGTTTAAGCATTTCACATCTTTTTTATTTCTGCATTTCATTTCTTCAACAATTTAATTGCACCCAGATCTACAATAGTTTGAAAACGTGCACAAAAACGTGTTTCTTCATCCTGCAAAGAATAATAAAAAATAAAATCTGACCCAGGCAAAAAAAGGATAGCAGGAAACTAGTGTTAATTCTATAATTCTCCTTCTAGTTAATCATAATTTAATACCTCAGCATAATATACTTATAAAGACAAATATGTCTTGTAGTTTTGCCCCTTGCAGCATTCCCCAGCCCTGCAGTTAAAAAAAATATTTTCTCTATTTAAAACAAACATTTCAATGTTATTATCATCATCATCATCATTACTATGGTCTTAGTAATTTCAGAGAAAAGAAAATATTTTCCTCTCATTCAGGCCCACCCCATGTGACCAAGGCCCACCCACCCTTATCAGAATCCAATACACAACAATGCTCAAAAGTCCTGATCGAGAAATAAAACGGATGGAAATACAGGAATGACACAAAACAATTACTCAGCAAATTAGAGGTGAGACAAAATGTAGCTTAAAATTCTCCTTTGAACCCGCACTCAACCACAAGGGATCAATTACCCTGGGACTCTCAGAAAAAGGTTTTCACCTGCATTCACAACCACCTGGAGATCATTTACACCCACTGAACCCGTTAAAACCCACAATGCCTCATTTAGGAAGTACAGCCTCAAAAAGAAAATGATGGCAAGTATCAATGAATTCTACTCTTACGATGAGCTGTGTTTTAAATAAAAATAAATAGATATTTAAAAAGGAAGGGAGCGAACAGTCCATCTATTATGTTATTGAGTCTTTTTTTTCTTCATTTTTTGACATTTTCTAAGAAAAATCTGACATAAAAAAAACATTATTTATGCCTTTTCAGATTTTTCTAAAACTTTTTTACCTATATCAAGAAGATCATACAGATATACAGTAAAATAAAGAGGAAAAAATACAACAAAATGAAGTCTTTAAAAACTATATGCAAAGGGAATTTAAAAACATAATAAATAAATAAAATACCAATATTATGATGATGGTTTAATTACAACTGAGGAGGTGGATAACCAAAGCCGAGGAGAAACAGTGAGTTTAGAGTACTTGGTTTTTGCATTAAGTTCAATAAGGGACCTCTTGGTAAAAAGTAGGGGGAGGGGTTACATTAGGTGCTGATGAAGATCCTCCATGTCAGTTGGCTGCAAGTCCAGTGGCTTCAGAAGAAAGCCTGAGGAGGACAACAGAAAACAAGATGACCTTGATAGTCTATTTACGTTAGAGCTCATAGAGCGTGTAAAGAATTCGAGACAAGTGAACCACAAGGAACGTGGCAATAACAAAGATGGAACCCCAAAATTAAATTTACCAATTGGTCAAAACAAACTTGACTGATACTCTGATAATAACCAGTACATTCAACCTCTTCCCTGTCGCATTACTCACTAACACTTTCACTGTGGGTGAACTTGCATGACAGTGAAATTCAGAATTTAATCATAAAAAATTACATGAAATAAATAATGACCATAAAACATTTTAAACAGCCAGGCTAAAGGGAGGTGATTGAAGTTTAATTACTTTTTCTTATTAGTTCGAAGTGGACTTTAATAACCAGCATGTCTTCTGCTACCATGACTTTCAATCAAGACAAAATGTGAATTTGCAAAGAATTATGGGAGCTGTTTTATTGTTCAAGACAATTGCCAATGAGAGCCCGTCTGTCATGATTCAGGCAGAAATCATGTTTACAGAAGAGGTCATTTCTTAAAGTCATAGTCACGTTACATCTGAATGTTGAAGCGTCAAATATTATATATTTAACAATGTGTCACTCGTGATTGAAATGGTGGTATGTAATAATTGTAATTATTTCTACCATTATCACCATATTATGGGCATGTCAGTTTAGACGTGCATGTTTAAAAGTTCCAGTCAAGGTTTAACCTCCCATCAAGTCACTAACGGACAAAAACTGCCTTCACCAACATTTCATCTCACAGTTTGGACTATCTTAAATAATTATTAAGCATGACTTGACAAAGAAAATGCTTCTGGGGTGTTTGGGTTGAACATAAGAACATTGTAGTACAAAACAATATGTGTTATTATTTGTATCCTCTATAAAAGCCTTAACCACAACATTAACACAGACAAACTCAGAAGAGTTTTACAATTTCAGTAAAGCGACCTGAAACACTGTGATGTCTCCTATCAACTTGCTGCTCTGTGATAGATGTGTTGCATAAGAGTAAAGTATCTTACCGAGCATTGATCAGGTACTCAGCCAGGCTGATGCTGGCGTGGGAGCCAGTGATGGTGACCTGTCTGTCAGTGGAGCCCTCCACAGGATTGGCAATCTTGATCTGAGCCCCTGACATCTGACGGATCTCATTGATCTTTGCGCCCTGACGGCCAATGATGCAGCCAATGAGCTGAAGAAGAAAAAGAAGAAGAAAAAAAAAAGTGAGAAACCAGGACAGACACAAAAAGCAACACATGAATCTACTCTCTTTCTATTTTATTCTGCTAAATAACACAATACGTAAAAAAACGAGTCAAATGTAACGTACATCGTTTGGAATGGTCAGCTCATGAGAGCCAGTTTGTGCAGAGGCATCCATCCCACCTGAAGAAATGCAAAGAAAAAACACATGTTGACAAGGTGGATCATTTCAAATCTACAGCATTCCCACTTTCAATCTGCCCACCTACCCTGGAAGCCCTGGTTGCTATGTGCAATAGGGAAGGGGCTCTGCTGCATGGCCAGCTGGTGTAGTTTGGTGAGCTGTTGAAAGGAAGGAGGAGAGGACGCAGAAAACAAGCAGAGAAAGTATGAGCATGTGAAATGATAAATGGCATGAGAAATTTTGTAAATATTTCCCTTTTTGTAGTGGTAATGAGAGGAAAATGTGAAATGGATGGAATATGGAAACTGTGACGTTTAGTCTGAAGGGTTAAAGAAATAAAAGTGTTAAACTGTTAAAATAAATAGAATAGGTTATAAGAATTGTTAAATGGATCTCAGGCAGTGGTGTTGGGGAAAATAAAGAGTCAGAGGGATGAAATAAGAAGGTGGCATGGCTTCCCAGGACCGAAGTTACAAATATATTGGATCACTTACAGAGGGCCCTTCACTTACATCAGGCTGTGGAATGGCGTGCTGCCCTTGGACAGCGTATGCCTGCAAGGAGAGAATCGCACTTAGAAGGTGTGGCAGTGTCACACACAGTGAACTCCAATATCCATCAGTCCTCTGTCCTTGGTGTGCCACAAGAACAAAGTGGACATGCTACAAACAGCAGTCTCTCAACTAAACCCCTGGCCCATGTTAAATTTGATCATTTTCTGTGCCCAGAACAGAGGACGCTGTCAGGACAAATACTACCAATGACAAATACATATGAAGAAAAAAAATGAATGCTGTCGTTGCTTACCTGACCACCTGCAAAAATGACGGGAGAGCCTGAGGGTTTGGGTCTGTACGGGATGGTCACTCCCTTTGGTGGAGACTAAAAAAAAAAAAAGGAGAAAAAGAAATCCAAGATTTAATATTGATCCATCGCAACCCAGAAAATAATCAGTGTTCAGGAGTATCAATTATTTCAAAAACATTTTGTGAAGAATTCTCCTCACCTCAAGCATGACAACACAGATCTGCTTGACACACTCAATTATGGACTGTGGGGTCCCTGCAACTGTGATGGCACGCTCTGTTGAGTTGGGCAACATGTCCCCTGCTACTTGTACCTGCGCTCCGGCTGACTGCAGACACACACACACACAGAATAAGAAAGAATCAGAACACCATAGGGATAAAAACAAAGGTTCATATAATACAAAAGTCGCTTTCACATTATGCATTCCTGAAAATGCGCATTCCCTAAAACGTTTCAGGCAGACAGCCCCTGAAATCTTCCTCAGCTGTTCTTTTACAGACATGTCCCTCACAGCAGGAGACAATCTTTGTCAGACGGGGGAGGGGGTGTCACGAGGCAATACATGACATAAAGCGTACACAGAGCTACAGAGCCCACCGCTGTGATCACAGGTTTTGTTTTTTTTTAACTTTTGTATCATTTTTTCAATATAAGATGGTCATAATATCAACAAAGGAGAACAACACTGAGAAGCAGAAATCATAAATCAAGCAGTTTCATCACGTGCACAGAGATCGCACACGAAACAGTGTATGGTCGTGGGCCTGTTGCAGGATATGTCATCACCCCCTCCCACTTGCGTGCAATGAATTTCCCTGGCTATTTCCTGCTGCATTCTCACATCAGCTCACCCCAACTGTGCATGGAAAATGTACTAGGGGGCTGAGAGAACCGATTCCAGGTAAACACATACAGCTCATCAGAAAAAAACAAACAAACAAAATAAAAACACCAGGATGTTTTCTGAAGTTTTGTGTACGGTTGAAAGCAGGAAAAGAGACCGAATGACAAACCTCTCTGATTTCCTTGATCTTGCAGCCACCCTTGCCAATGAGAGAGCCACACTGGCTGGCAGGCACAACAAGGCGCATGGTGACCGGTGGTTTGCTGGTGGCTGTACTGTTAGTCATTGAGGTGCTGATGTCCTGTAGGGAAGGTGACACAACAACGGGAGGGAGAAAATAAGAA